TATCCATTCAAAAATTATTCAAATATTCCCTGTCCCAGATAGAAGCTACCATATACTGTATATCAATGTTATCAAAATATTGCTCACAAGGTATACACTGCAATCTGCTGTCATGAATGCAGAAATTTATATCGTTCTCACAGATATCCCATAGAAGATCCTTTAATTTCTGATCAAAATTTTGTTTTTTTACAAACGATTCAAAAGCATTTTGATAATTGGTTTTGTTTTGCATAGGATTAGCCATTTGTATGCAAAAAAAATAATCAAAATAATGACTATAAGTTTTTATTGAATCTAAACTTTTATTTATAAACTCAGAGCACATATACTGTCAAATAAATATGGAACGTTATTTATTGTCTATAACATAAATGGTGTTTATATTGAGTCGTATTATTAAATCCAGATAAACATATGATTACCACAAATAGTTTAATGATTTTGTGTTTCAAAACATGACCAGTACATTTTTGGTGTTTAAATAATATTTTAGAAACTGTAAATAAATTATTATTCATACTGATAATTAATATTAAGATCTATTGATATAACAAATTTTGAAATAAAATAGACTTTTACATTATATGGCAATGTAACAGGCAACAAAAGTATAAGTTTTAAAAAATTAATAATGTAGCTTTGCTTGTTTTAATACCGTGTTACTTGTTGCATTAGAAAATGTTTTGGAGGTATGACATAGGTAGATTACTGTTATGCTGCATTACTGTAGTTGTGAAAGCGTAATGTATTTTATTAAAATTAAAAATATTATCAAATAAGTGTAATATTTATTTTATATGACAAACAAAGCTAGAAAGAATAAATGTAAACAAAGCAAAGTACGGGTGTTAGTTTATTTAATTTTAATTATATTTATACAGTACATAGCATGAAATCCTTAATATTGATTAAAGCTAAATAAATGTTTTAAATTATATTTTTATTTACTTATTTAAATAAGCATTTCAAATAGATTAATTTTTAATACATATAAATAAATTATTTATTTAAATAGAAATTAGATTAGAAAAATAAATTTATTTTATTCTGTGATGAAAAATTTAGTTTATATTTACAAATATACCAATACAAAAAATGTATAACTTGTACCGTTATATTCTAAATAAATATTAATTTTTATTAATAATAATAATATTTTCTAAGTAATCATAAAATATATTTCAATTGCATTCATATACTGTATATTATATTAACTAGGGTTCTACAAATGAAATGGACATGGACCAATATGTCGCGTCCCTGTCCGTCTTAATGACATATGTCGGACGTGTCGTTCAATTGCATTTCATAACATAATTAGCATAATTAATTATTCATGTTATAATGCTTAAAAGTGATTAGCAAGACAGTAGTAGTATACCTAATCATATTAAAAGCGTTTGAAACATTTAATTCGTGATTATTTATAGAAATAAACTTAAATATATGACATAAGGGGCGCGTGTCCTTCAATTCGAATTTATATATGTATTATCTGTACAAATGACGCGAGTTTAATAACTATTGTCTTAAAATAAATTAAATCTGTGAATATTTGACCCAGTTTTAAGTTTTTATTCTATAGTACAAATTAACTTAGTCATGTTATCGAAGAGATTAGTTTAACATAAATTATAATTAATTAAATAAAATTAATTAAATGTTAAAAACTGGACGGAAAGACAGGTTTCCAATATGTCATGATGATATGTCATACGCGTCATGAAAGCCGCAGACGCATGTAGAACGCTATTAACATCTCTCTCTCTCTCACTCACTCACTCACTCACTCACATACTTAAATACTTACTTACTTTCTTACTCGTTCTCTATTAATTAATAAACAAACTCCAGTTTTAGGTCTGACCTGGAGGTTGGGGTCTCCACGAAATTAATTCAGAACAATTAATTGTAATATTTTAGACATTTTGTGAAAGTAAGATCGTTTTAGTCTACAAAAGGATTTAATGTTTATAATAAAATAAGATATTTTTATGGCATAAGTATTTAATAATTTTATCAATAAAAATGGGCACTATTTAAAATTAATTTGGGATAGACAATTTTGAATAATATTCTTATTACAATAAATATTTTACTAGAGAATCGAATATATTTTTAGTGTTTGGTCAAGTTATTTTTTGTGTAATAAACTAATTTGTTAGTTTAACTCGCTTATTTATTACAGTATACAGTATATTTATTGCTATTAATATCTTAAATATCAATTATTTCTAAGAATTTGAATTTAGTCCACAAACTGCTAAAGAAAGTATTTAACAAATATCAAAATAATCCGTAGAAACTAATTATTAAAATTAATTAATGGTGGTAAATGTTATTTAAATGATAAGTATTTTTAAAAAATATTATTTCAGTATCACGGATTTCTTGTATTAAAATATGAAACATATCCTAAATACTAAACTGACATTATATTTAACAAAAGAAATTTCTCCAGGATTCTTAAGGAAAATTAGTCTGAATTACTGTAAAACTCCAGTTTTAAAAAGTTTAGATTTGGCAACGCTAAATATATATTCAAAAAAATTGTAATTCAATTTCACTATAAAATATGTTGTCCATTATTTGTCCTCTATTTATTCAATTAATTTATCAAAATGTCCACTAATTACGAGACGTGTTGTGGTCACTGCAAACAGTTCGCAACAACAGGACATCGACACAAACTGGCCGTTCATTTGAATGAAACGAAATGTATATGTAATGAAGAAAACTGTGGCAAACATTTCAAAAGCAAAGTCAATCTCAATCAACACGAACTCAAACACACGAGAGACCCGCCATTTGTTTGCGATTTCGGTGATTGTAAGCGAAGTTTTTCGCAAAATTCATCATTACTTGTGCACAAACATAGGGCACATGGAGTCAAACCATTTGTGTGTGAATGCAATGGCTGTGACAACATATATGGCATAGTCTGCGATCGCACCGTTAGCTATGCACTGCACTGACATTTTACGGTGACATCCAATTAGACACCAAACCCATTGACTTTACGTCATGTAATTGGACTATAATTGTCACATAATATCAGTATTTATCGTACTTTTTAAGTGCCTGGCCTTCTGTGCGCACTTAACATCATTAGTCCCAACCACTTGACACCTGCTTACTTCACACCGGCAGTCAGGTATATAAGCACAGGTAGTTTTTGTAGAAAAGGCATATAATCACAAACCATTGGTGTTAAGCGTCAACAGTGTTTGAACATAGCATCGAAATTAAGTTATTTCCCAAACATTATATTAATACTACTTTTCAAAGTTATATTTTATTATTTTGATTCATTTGTGTCAATAACTATTGAAAGTCAGTAATCATGTCCAGCAAAGTAAGACAAAACTTTCATCAGGACTCTGAGGCCGGTATTAACAAACAGATTAATCTTTATCAGTATGAATAATAATTTATTTACAGTTTCTAAAATATTATTTAAACACCAAAAATGTACTGGTCATGTTTTGAAACACAAAATCATTAAACTATTTGTGGTAATCATATGTTTATCTGGATTTCTATACCACTCGTCACAACTATTGTCACAATACCTTACCGGGCGTACAGTGGTCGCGACTATAACTGTCGCTCATATATAATGTGTTAACGGCCGGTATTCGAATACAATAGGGAGCATAATGAGTAAACTCGCAAACCGGTTTATATTGGGACGAATAGTCGGACACAAACTGGTCATATAGGCACTGTAACTAAGTTGTGGCGAACAGTGTCGTGATATGACATTCAGGGAAGGTATGAGAAACTTAACTCAAACTATGGTTGTCCCTGTTTATAAAATACCAATGAGCGAGATAATCGACAAATTGAGCATAAACTACAACAATACAATGATATCTGTATGCGTTAATGACTGGGACGGGACTGGATGGTCACAGGTATGCGATACTGAGCCGGTTACTTCATTAGCACCATTACCGAGTATGCGACAGTGCGTTACATTTTTTAGCACGCTCAATTCAAAGTGGGCAGGATTCGAGTTTAACTTTGGCAAGGCAGTTATGACCATCACATGTAATGAGCGCGATTACTTATTAGAGGACTGTGAGCGAGCTAATTTTCAAATCACGATTCACTCGCAAAACTCGACGCCCGACATGGGTATGGACTCAAAGTACGTAAGCCTGCCAATGGGTCACGACATTAATATGGACTTTCATCACATTCACATCAAACGTTTGCCGCCCTTTTACGACACCAATTGTCGCGACTATGAGCGCACCGACACCCGCAGTGAGTGTCAGACCCAATGTTGGCTGTCCCACTACTCAAGATTGTGTCCCGACAGCAACAGCCTGTCCACTGATGGGTACAATAGGTTTATGTTTAGAGCCGAACATTTGGTTGGCGATAGTTTTTCCCGGCTTAAATTGGCAGATAATATGAATGGCACCAACTGTACTGTCACTGTATCCGTGGACTCGTGGTCCGTATGTCGGGAAAGGTGTCTCAAAAGTTGTGATGAACGTATTTATTTTTTTACTGTAGTAGATAGCAAACAGGATAAAGAATATGGTGTTTATAAAAGCAAGGTTACTTTGAGACATAATAATTTGCCTGACACCCTAATTATGCATATGCCTGAATCGTCATTTATAAGTTTGGTGTGTAATTTAGGTTGCTTATTAGGTATGTGGTCGGGACTGTCTGTTTTTATGTTACTTGATACAATTTTGCGGTATTTTAAATTCAAATAAAATAAATCAATTACTAGTATAATATTATATTTATATATAATATTATATAATCCTTTACTTGAAATCTCAGTTCAGATAAATCCCAGACTCTGAATGTTGGGCTCATGACATAAGTAAACTAACCTAGAGTATAATTTTTGCAATCTTTTTATTTATTCTCGACTTAGGTTTTACTTTCTAAGTGTTTCTGACGTGAGATATTTATTATTAAATTATGTGTTTATTGTCTAATTTGTGTGAATTTCGGGAATTGTGCCAATGTTTAGATAAAATGCAATGTTTTTTGTCACAAAATGCAAGTGTTTTGTGTGAAGGGATTGAATGCGAAAATGCAGTGAATTTGTCAATAAATTGCAATTTAATTGATTTGAATTCATGTAAAATAAGTGATTTAATAAATGCTTTCAATCACAACACCATTAATATACTAAACGCTTATCAATATTTCCACTGTTTTTGGCCTAAATGTCAGTTCAAAACATCAAGAAGAAATCATTTCAATAGACATAAGTTAATACATTTAAATATAAAGCAATTTAAATGTGATTTTAATAATTGTAATAAATCTTTTGTAACTAAAGATCATTTAAGAATACATAAAAATAATATTCATTTAAACGTGAGATATGTATGCGATTGAAGTGAATGTCGCAAACAGTTTACAACAAAACGCCATTTACTTCAACACAAAAGTGCTGTTCATTTGAATGAAAAGAGATTGAAATGTAATGAAGACAATTGTGGCAAATGTTTCGCACAAAACTCGTACCTAATTGCACACAAACGCACACAAAAGCCATTTGTTTGTCATTTTACTGATTGTGATAAATTGAGTTTTGCATTCAAATATATGAATAATCACAAACGTAGACATTTTGGTGGCAAACCATTTCAATGAGTGTAATCATTTATTACTAATCAAGGTTTCACACAAGTGTTAGTCAGTTTTGACAATCCTATAATGTTCACAAATTAAACTTTTGAAAGATATTGTTTTTTTGTAGTTATAAGTTATAACCAGGGCTCTACGATGGGCATTGGTTTTTAGACTACTGCGTCACGCATACATCAGATTAGTCTTAAACATGTTTGGACATGTAAATTCAAAACATATATATTTTAATAAAATTTTTAATATTTGGCAATATTTTATCATCAATTATTGTATAAAGTACTCAATAAATAGCTTCGTATAACAAAAACTGATTTATATTTAAAATTTTATTAAAATATATATGTTTTGAATTTACATGTCCAAACATGTTTAAGACTAATCTGATGTATGCGTGACGCAGTAGTCTAAAAACCAATGCCCATCGTAGAGCCCTG